GGTTCACAAGCTCGCCTTGTAACCCGGAAGGTCCTGAATTCGAACCACGGTGATCCCGTACTTATGGGGAGTCAGAAATTAGAATAAGACAGCTTTCCAGTACTTCCTGGTTTCTTAATGGTTCTTTAACTGATGTCAGTTCATGGTTAAATCTGTAACCGATCAAATTCCTGCAAACCAACACTTGAAGATTTTTACATTGCGCCAGTTTTTCAATCATATATGTGCCAACAACAATACAAAAGTCAATCGGGATATTTATAACCAATGAAATGAAGTTTGTTTTTTCAGCACAACATTACAAACAAACTCACACATATGCTTAAAATCGGTAATAATTTTATACAAAAAACACACTAAAGACACATGACTAAAAGTGATGACGGTAAGCTTGAATCAGTTGCCATTTTAAGCTCCACCTAATAAATAATATCAAAATTAAATATTAAAAGATATTTCTTTTTCATTTCAGGCCTTACGAGTAAGAACTTAGGGGAGAGTAACAAGTTATTGAAGTTCCAGCAGGGGTAGTGTTTATTTTTACGAGGCAAGGTTGCTAGCTTCACACACCCAACCTTCCCCCCTCTTATATATTTCCTGGGCTCACTGTCAGCAAGTAAACTAGGCGAGATTTGCGAGTGCGTCAGTAGGGAATCGGACACCCGATCATATAAATGAGCGGTTGATGAGCACTCTACTACCACCATCAACGTATTAAAAGATATATTATCATTAGTATTAGCAGAATTCTCAAGCTCTTCTCTTATAAATGTGGAATAATATCAACAACTACAGCAAAAAAGAACATAACTGTTATGAAACAACAAAAAAGAAGGAAGTGTACTAAAAAAAACCAATTTATGTACAGTGGAAAAAATATATACCACATACATAATCACATTATATTGTGACTACTTGTCTGTAATAAAATAAAACGCACACGTAGGCTGAATACCAAAATACACAAATGACCAATCCATTTAAGCACTAAAAGCCTGATAATATGACAGAAGCTTAAATTAATATATTTCTCTTAACATAATTGACTTGGCACACACACTCACACCCACACGATGGCTTGAAGAAGTATATATATATATATATATATATATATATATATATATATATATAATATGAGCACACTTGTTGCCACATTTGCAAGTGTAGCATGTGTGTTTGTTTGCCTTATTTATCGATTGAACAGCCAGCGTTTCACAAACACACAAATCAAGTGTGTAGGTACTAGACACCAGAGCATAAAAACTCACTCATCCAACATGCATCACGTGGGATGAAAAACCAATGCCACACATATACGCACACACACACACACATATAAAAAATATACGTACATCCACACAATCTATTCGTCAGAATAGATGCTGATTTTGCCATGAAAAGATGAGACAGAGAGAGAAAATTAATTAATTAATCAATTTGGACAGAGTTGAAAATCAATACTTGCTGATCAAGGTAATTTATCATCTGTATGCTGGAAAATGAAAGCAAAGGGTTGAAATAGTTACTTTTAAGTTGGAGTTATAAAAGTTGGATGATCAATGATCATATAATCGATAAATAGTGAAAAATCATGTCAATTTACAATGATAGAAATACAGACAGACAACATTAAAACACAAGACATATCATTCATTACACTGATATAATTCCATAAAGTCTGCATAACAAGTACAAAAGTTAAAGAAAGGTGGAATAAAGGGAGTGGGAAAAATATAAACAAAAATCACAGGATGTGCTGTATAAGCGAAAAAAATCCAGCAGATAAGTGAGACAGAACTACTAACACAACTGCACTAGTGTGATCGATTACGAACCAAGTCAACTAAAATTCCTAATCATAGGTTTTATTGTTTACATGGATTCTAGTCAGGAAATCTACACTTCCTTATATGACTCACTCAGACCACAAGTGATTTGGTTTATGTTTGAATATGGTCACTCTTAATTGGATCCATAAGTGAGCAACAGTCTCTGACATGAATATAGTAGGATAGAAACAATTGTTTGTCTGAAAATGTATTGCGGAACATATAAACTAACATCGGTTAGGACATCCATCATCTAGGATCGTTACTATTTGGCCCAGTCCACCTACGTTCCTTACATTTGAATGCTTATATAAGACTATGCATTTTTGCTGGAACTTGTTGTTTCTACCGTCCCATTTAAAGCCAGTGTGTTGTATGCGTATCCTGTGACTACATTGTACATTGATGTGTAAATCATACTAGGACAACTACTTTCAGTTCAACTGATATCCAGGTAATATCAATGGTATGACAGGACCCCCATGAATAATAGTACCAACCAGCAGAGCTTGTTAGGTCCCTGCGACATGCAACTATCCTGTCGGGAATTTACAACAATGTTAGTAACACATATAAAAGGAAAGGAATAATAAACTACGATCAGTCGCCAGTGGTGTCATTGGTTCAGTGTATTAATAGGCAACATAGAATTGTATAGAAAATCTTAGTGGATTATTCATGAAGTTGCAGTTTTTTTTTGGTTAGATTTACTGATTTTTTTTTCTGGTATCGATACGACAATATTGCTCTTAGTGAGAACTTGGTTGGTTATATGTGCTAGAGGAACTAAACAAAGTTTAAAGTGTCTAAAGGAACATTTACTCTGATACAGGATGAAACGTGTATCTCTGACTCTACCCAAACACAGTCGAATATGAATAAATAAACTGTAGCTTTCACTCGCGTTCAGTTACTAAAATATTAGACATAAACCAATATACCATTATATATACGACTTCTAGAAAATGCATTCAACGACTTCAATAAGTTGTGGACTGGAAGCCAATAATAGAAGGCAAAATGAATGTGTGCGTTGTTGCTTCGGTATACAAACCACTACGGACAATGTATTCTGAAGTGTTTCTCAACTAAGTGTTTTATTTTGCATTACATTCATATTTTCTTTGGAAATGAGTCATGTATTCTGACCTCATGCTTGTGCTTCTGTGAAGTCTGTCGCTTTAATAAATAGAAATGGACGGTCTGCTTAAAGTCACTGGGTTACCAGAATTTCCATCTATCTAAGTGCTGCTTACACTGTTCTGCACTTCTTATTGTTTTATAATGGAGCAATTGTATCAGATGGCCAGTACATGAACTCGCACGCATATTTAATTAGTTTCCCACTATACACGCTAGGCATTTCTTGAAGGAATTGAAGAAAAAAAAGTACAGAATTGGTTTTCTCTTCATATGCAACAACAACAATACTACGACAAATGATGCAGTTCAGATTATTGCTTTACATGTAAATTCTGTATGAAGGGGAAATATTTTGGAACTAAATACGCTGAAAATTTCTGTAATATATGTTCACATATTGTCTGAAATAAAGCTTTATTATTATTATTAACCAAAGAAAATTTGTCATTCAAAAAGGAGTGAAGTTTGTTTGGTGAGATAAAATTTCTGAATATGCATTGAAGGAAGCCAAATCAAAAAAAAATAGAAGTTTGTGAATACCTAATTTTTACTTGTGAACAACTTAACACCAAGAATACTCAACAATTTGTAAGGCATGATTATATGCAAAAAGTTTTGAATTTGAGAATAAAAACAAGTGATTCACCGAAGAGAACCTTATCAACGATTTTATTATCAAGCTATACAATCGGATATATATATATACCGACCATTACTTTTCAATAACCTGAAGTACAAGATATTACAGATGACTAACTCTATGCATGTTTACCAGTTCACTTGTCCTTATGGATATCGGTAGTTCGAAAACAGCGGTTCAACAGAGAACATTATCCTGTAGTGTTAAGATGAGGTGGAATTGAAGCCATAAGAAGAAGTGCGGTGATTATTATAAGTAACTTATTTTGCTGCTTGCTGTTTAACTATGATTATAATTACAAATATTTTGTGGTAACTGACAATATTATTTCAAAAATCCATATATTTACGATTTGATGATAAATTTGCTAGGAACAGTCTCTTCGATGAATCTATTCGTTTCCATTATTTGCGAAATTATTGTCAAAAATCGTAGCGTATTCAGAAAATCAGTACACGATATTTTAAAACCGTTTGGCTGTGTAAATCAAATCTTCAGAAGAAATACTGTCGATTATTTTTGTTGATAAAGTTACAGTTTACATAGGTTCTTACTATCGACAGAACTCCAGTGAAGCAGTCTACACCTTCCTCTACATGTCTCATACTAACTGTCGAAGATTCCATGGACTGATGCCACGTTGTGGTTCGACCACCACTAGCTCTTTTCTAAACTGACTTTGTGTCAACTAGCATATCCCGTCAAGGAATGCAATGGCTAGGCAAGCGCAACACTTGCCCTAGACCTCTACAAGGCAAAGAAAAAACTACCAGAGACAAAACGCTTTCGCCTCCTCTGCATTGCTGAAGCTCTAGGCATCCAGAGTTCTGCATGCAAAAGAGAACTCTTCAGTCACTTCTATTAAATCAGTTCTTTTTTGTTTCTTAACTCTATAACTCCTGTATTTCTCCTGAACTCTTTCGTAATATTACATTCCCCTTTGTTTCTATGTGCATTCATTGAATTATGTATCCTATTAAGTAAATCATCAACACTTTTATTCAACTTCTCTCATGTATTGATTAATGTAGGCAACAATGCTAATGACAGTTCATCACTTTCGTTATTATCCTATTTTGTGGAAAAAAAAGATAAGCGGTTGTACAGCTCTTAAGCAGATGAATTCTCTGAACTACTTGTTTTATTTTTTTTTTTTCATAAACAGTAGTTGTCAATTAATTCATCCAATACTCCTAGGCCAGTTCACCTTTTTTTTTAAATCTATGTCGGGAGAAGAAAAAAGAGAAATTCGGAACAACACACAAGCTACAGATGAATGGTCCAGTCATGAAATAATCCTGATGCTTTTTATATTTTAGTATACGCATTATGTGGAACACAAAAATATTCATAAAGATTAATAGAGTATTCAATAAACTTTGGCTTACCTGTTGAACAGTACCATTGATTTCTACAGGAACAATAAAATCAGCATTTTCCACATACTGGAATGAAAAATATATAATTTGATGAGTAATAAATAAATATATGCTGACATTTAAAGGAAGACTTTATCAAAAAAAAACTCAAAAAAAATGACAAAGAAAATAATTGTCTATAGTTTGCTTTGTAAGGATTAGTTATGTTTTACGAGTTGATCACGGACTGATATCCTTACAAACCAAACTATAGAAAATTATTCTGATGCTCGCTAGTGACTTGCTACAGGTTGGAGCTTCCTGGAGTTCTAGTGAGAAGTCGTGACCAGTGAAGTCCAATTAGAAGTCACGTGTGTGGACGGATGTCCCACCAACGACATTGGTTAGGGTCGCGTTAAAAATCACGAATTGGTAGAAGTTAGAATTCATGAGCTAGCCATTGAATCGGGTCCCAGTGGCTGAAAGGTATACGAGTTTGCCTTGTAACCGGAAGGTCCCGGGTTCGAATCCCAGTGGGTGCGTACTGCCGATGATTCCCAAACTAGAATGAAACAGCAGCTGTCCAGTACTCCCTGGTTTTCAATGGTTCTCTAACTGATATCAGTCCGTGATCAACTCGTAAAATAATAATTGTAATCAGCCACCTTAGGGGTGAGATCAGGTTCTAATCTGGAAATAGCATATAGCTACTTAGTTGAGATTAACAGTTTATCCACCATTTCTCTTATCAAGAGAAAACTTTATACTGCTGATTCCTACATAGACTTTGGTAGTAACATTAAAATGACGCCGTTGTCTTTTCTTTTACATCATCCACTGTAGTGCTAGCACCAGATATTTAAGAGTTGTCAAGTCCCGTATCTCACTACTTTAATGGGATGTTGACATAACGCATGAAAACTCATAAGAGTGTAACCTTCTTCTTAATCATCACTGACTGGAACTGAGTTTTAAAGTAGAACTTTGCACAGACGTGTAACAAGTTGCCACACGCCATATAGCACAGAAAAGAAAAAAGAATTCAAAAGAGCTATAATGAGCAGAAATTTACAGGAAAAAGAGTAACTATATGAAAAGACATGAGGATTTAATGAATGCATCTGGGAGATCACAAAGAGTCAATGCAACTGAGCCACTGAGAACGCTTTTGAGTCATATCACCGACAGTCTTAAGGTATTGGTTCTTAGTATACCAAAGACCCAAACCAGGCGGTTTACACCTCCCTATGTGACTCAAACCAACACTCAAGGACTTCACTGATTGATGTACCATGCTTTAGTTTGACTAACCCTACTAACTATTCCAACCTACTGTGCTAGCTAACATTACTGGGTCAGGAAGACGAATCACTAAAATGCTGACACTTATTGCCGAAAACCATTATTTCTTTCATAACTTGTACGTTCAGAGGTCATGTCTAAAATGCTTATCACAGGATTTCGATCAAAGAAAAGTCAGTTCTAAAAGATTAACTGACTGTAAGTTGAAAATGCACAAAATCGTTGCAAATTCGTTGCATTGAAGGCGTTAGGAAGATTACACTGCACTAGTTTCATTATCCACCTCAATTATAAGCTCTAAGTTGAATAATTCATCCATCTAAAAGTTTGAAGCTCACATATACTGAATTCAGTAGTTTTCATTGTGTCCGCAAAATGAACAGATTATGAATCCTGCTAAAGTGAAAGAGTCGAGGCGGCATGTGTATTACTTGCTCTTTTTGCATAGAAGTTTAATCCCTAGTTAGGTGAACAGAAGTATTTCCACAAGAAAGCCGATACTCTTAGCTAATAACATACATACATGATGATAATCTCGAAATTTAAGGTAGGCTAATTCACAAACTGACAAGTTTGACTAAATAATTTTAGACAGTGGTAAATATATGCAACTTCTTAGTCATAAAAGCGGAATAACACTTAAATAAATATTCTGCATGCGATATAATCAATTTCTTAGAGAAGACATTGAAGTTGATAACAGTAATAAAAATAGAACAACTCATCCACAAGATTGTACTTTTCTCACGTACTTACTAACTACCTCATAAGCCATAATTGACATATAAGAACTCATAATATCACCATCCACATGCCAGAAAGAAGATGGACCACTACTAGCTTGGTTGAAAGTGCATAATCTGATGATTATAAAATATGGTGAGATGTAAACTCAGTTTCAGGCCTGATAGAATACTATGCTCTATAGTTTGGTTTGTAAGGGTCAGTTATGTTTTTGCGAGTTGATCACGGATTGATAGAAAATTAATCTGATGCTCGCTAGTGAGTGACTTGCTGCAGGATGGAGTTTCCTGAAGTTCTAGTGAGAAGTCGTGACCAGTGAGGACCAATTAGATGTCACGTGTGAGGATGGATGTCCTACCAACGACATTGGTTGGGGTCGCGCTAAAATCACGAATTGGTAGAAGTTAGAATTCATGAGCTAGCCATTGAATCGGGTCCCAGTGGCTGAATGGTATGCGAGCTTGCCTTGTAACCGGAAGGTCTTGGGTTCGAATCCCAGTGGGCGAGTAGTGACGATGATTGAGTCATAGGATTGGGTTGGGTAAGAATCTAAGACTCTAAGAATCAATGGCTGGAAACACTAGGTGACATGGCTCAAAATCGTTGTCAATGGTGCAGATGTATTCAGTCTCTGTAATCTTCCATATTCCTTTCTACCATTACTCATTCTGTTTCACTCTTATACTTGTCTAAACTCTATTGATTCTCTTCACTCATTTTCTTGTCTACTTTTGTGTGCTATTTGGAACGTGGCAACTCGAACTGCTGCACCTCGGTGCCAAGTTCTATGTTGAATCCAGACAGACAGTGACGATGATTCCCAAACTAGGATGAAACAGCTGGTTGTCCAGTACTCCCTGGTTTTCAATGGTTCTCAAACTGATATCAATCCGTGATCAACTCGTAATAAAAAAGAATATTATGTGTTTTGTCAAAATACCAGGTTGTTTTTTTGTTTTGTTTTTGTTTTACAAGACATCATTACACAATTCCAAAAGTAGTTAAACAACTTAGAATCTGTTTCACTACGATTGGATTATGACATCCGTAAATGATATCCATCCGATTAGAGACAAACAAGTTAATTTTATTCTACATTATATATATATAACTTCTACCAGATAGATTTTGTATATTCCTTTTTCAAGCAAAAAAAGAAGAAGTTAATGTATGTGTGTACTCGCGCGTATGTAAACATACTTTTTTTTAAAAAGCAACCAAATAAATACACCACTGATAAGAACACTGGCAAGTACAATTTAAACTAAACTAAGCAGTACCACCAATGAAAAAGCTTCTTCTTTTTACTGCACACTTTCAATAAGCAGATCGATTACAAAAAAGTTAAGGTTTCTAAATAAAAGTAAACAGAATACAGACTGTACCACAAAGTTTACTTTATTTAAATAAAATAAATGTGTTTTTTTTTATTAGAATATTCTGTAAGGCTACTTACTACTCTACACTATTACTACCACTTATTGACCAGTCGTCAGACAGAGAGGATCAAACACAAATTAAAATATTTACTTTATGAAACAAAATCGAAGAAATGAAATGGAATAAAACTCTGACCTATGCAGCAGAATACTCTTTTCTTTTACATAATGGTTTCATCACAATTGTCACATTTGTCTCATTATCAACAAAATAAGTCAACTATACTCAGAAGCATATGAAACCAAACAGGTCTGGTTCATTAGGATTTTTATCCTAATTTTTAAAAGTGCATCAGTTCAATTAGCCAAACTCCATGTACCATACAAGGAAGACAAAAGAGAGAAAAAAGAGATTCAGAAGAACTATAATCAGTAGAAATGTGCAAGAGAAAGGATAGTAAATGTGGAAAAAAAACACGACAACTTAGTGGATATAGGAAATAACAAAGAGTGAATGTATTTATGCTACTGGGAACGATTTTGACCACATCGCCAACAGTCTCCAGTTAGTGATTCTTAGCACCCCATGTATCCTAGCCAGGAGGTCTACACCTCCCTACATGGATCAAACTAACTGTCAAAGTCTTCACGGACTGACGCCAGATTTCGGTTTGACCACCCTTAATTCTTTTTCAGCCTAATCCTTTGTCTACTAATCTAGGTCGTCGAGGAAGGTGGTTACTCAGCATGCATAACGGGTGTCATCTCAAACGATGTAGCTTCACACCCTCACCGGTTGACTTACCCTTCTTACCTAACACTCTACGCCTAACCTCAAATTGATATGATTATGAGCGAGAAATTGCGGTCAAAACGTTATCCACATATTAATAAACCAAACAAACTTATCTAATATGGAATAACCTCGAAGTTACTCACAATTCTATACCACTTAAAACGGGGGAGAGAACGCAAACATTTGTGGTCAAAGACAGCTAGTCTCTTCACATCTTTCACTTTCAATGGTAGTGTCTCACAGCCAGGGTGAACTGTTGCATAAAACATGTTCTTTGATCGATAGCCAGATGTCACGTCTACGGCAGAGATGACGTAAATTGGCTAATGTCACACGAGCGTTTTGTTCGTATGTTGTTTCACTCCCTATCTTGATACCAGCAGTCGTCGTAAAATCATTCCTTCAGCATTGTTTTACATTTGACAGGAGTGAATCGCATGCCAAACATTCAAAGAATTCTGCTTATGGTGTTTAGAAGACCAAGGAGAACTACTACTACTACTACTACTACTACTACTACTACTACTACTACTACTACTACTACTACTACTACTACTACTACTACTACTACTACTACTACTACTACTACTACTACTACTACTACTACTACTACTACTACTACTACTACTACTACTACTACTACTACTACTACTACTACTACTACTACTACTACTACTACTACTACTACTACTACTACTACTACTACTACTACTACTACTACTACTACTACTACTACTACTACTACTACTACTACTACTACTACTACTACTACTACTACTACTACTACTACTACTACTACTACTACTACTACTACTACTACTACTACTACTACTACTACTACTACTACTACTACTACTACTACTACTACTACTACTACTACTACTACTACTACTACTACTACTACTACTACTACTACTACTACTACTACTACTACTACTACTACTACTACTACTACTACTACTACTACTACTACTACTACTACTACTACTACTACTACTACTACTACTACTACTACTACTACTACTACTACTACTACTACTACTACTACTACTACTACTACTACTACTACTACTACTACTACTACTACTACTACTACTACTACTACTACTACTACTACTACTACTACTACTACTACTACTACTACTACTACTACTACTACTACTACTACTACTACTACTACTACTACTACTACTACTACTACTACTACTACTACTACTACTACTACTACTACTACTACTACTACTACTACTACTACTACTACTACTACTACTACTACTACTACTACTACTACTACTACTACTACTACTACTACTACTACTACTACTACTACTACTACTACTACTACTACTACTACTACTACTACTACTACTACTACTACTACTACTACTACTACTACTACTACTACTACTACTACTACTACTACTACTACTACTACTACTACTACTACTACTACTACTACTACTACTACTACTACTACTACTACTACTACTACTACTACTACTACTACTACTACTACTACTACTACTACTACTACTACTACTACTACTACTACTACTACTACTACTACTACTACTACTACTACTACTACTACTACTACTACTACTACTACTACTACTACTACTACTACTACTACTACTACTACTACTACTACTACTACTACTACTACTACTACTACTACTACTACTACTACTACTACTACTACTACTACTACTACTACTACTACTACTACTACTACTACTACTACTACTACTACTACTACTACTACTACTACTACTACTACTACTACTACTACTACTACTACTACTACTACTACTACTACTACTACTACTACTACTACTACTACTACTACTACTACTACTACTACTACTACTACTACTACTACTACTACTACTACTACTACTACTACTACTACTACTACTACTACTACTACTACTACTACTACTACTACTACTACTACTACTACTACTACTACTACTACTACTACTACTACTACTACTACTACTACTACTACTACTACTACTACTACTACTACTACTACTACTACTACTACTACTACTACTACTACTACTACTACTACTACTACTACTACTACTACTACTACTACTACTACTACTACTACTACTACTACTACTACTACTACTACTACTACTACTACTACTACTACTACTACTACTACTACTACTACTACTACTACTACTACTACTACTACTACTACTACTACTACTACTACTACTACTACTACTACTACTACTACTACTACTACTACTACTACTACTACTACTACTACTACTACTACTACTACTACTACTACTACTACTACTACTACTACTACTACTACTACTACTACTACTACTACTACTACTACTACTACTACTACTACTACTACTACTACTACTACTACTACTACTACTACTACTACTACTACTACTACTACTACTACTACTACTACTACTACTACTACTACTACTACTACTACTACTACTACTACTACTACTACTACTACTACTACTACTACTACTACTACTACTACTACTACTACTACTACTACTACTACTACTACTACTACTACTACTACTACTACTACTACTACTACTACTACTACTACTACTACTACTACTACTACTACTACTACTACTACTACTACTACTACTACTACTACTACTACTACTACTACTACTACTACTACTACTACTACTACTACTACTACTACTACTACTACTACTACTACTACTACTACTACTACTACTACTACTACTACTACTACTACTACTACTACTACTACTACTACTACTACTACTACTACTACTACTACTACTACTACTACTACTACTACTACTACTACTACTACTACTACTACTACTACTACTACTACTACTACTACTACTACTACTACTACTACTACTACTACTACTACTACTACTACTACTACTACTACTACTACTACTACTACTACTACTACTACTACTACTACTACTACTACTACTACTACTACTACTACTACTACTACTACTACTACTACTACTACTACTACTACTACTACTACTACTACTACTACTACTACTACTACTACTACTACTACTACTACTACTACTACTACTACTACTACTACTACTACTACTACTACTACTACTACTACTACTACTACTACTACTACTACTACTACTACTACTACTACTACTACTACTACTACTACTACTACTACTACTACTACTACTACTACTACTACTACTACTACTACTACTACTACTACTACTACTACTACTACTACTACTACTACTACTACTACTACTACTACTACTACTACTACTACTACTACTACTACTACTACTACTACTACTACTACTACTACTACTACTACTACTACTACTACTACTACTACTACTACTACTACTACTACTACTACTACTACTACTACTACTACTACTACTACTACTACTACTACTACTACTACTACTACTACTACTACTACTACTACTACTACTACTACTACTACTACTACTACTACTACTACTACTACTACTACTACTACTACTACTACTACTACTACTACTACTACTACTACTACTACTACTACTACTACTACTACTACTACTACTACTACTACTACTACTACTACTACTACTACTACTACTACTACTACTACTACTACTACTACTACTACTACTACTACTACTACTACTACTACTACTACTACTACTACTACTACTACTACTACTACTACTACTACTACTACTACTACTACTACTACTACTACTACTACTACTACTACTACTACTACTACTACTACTACTACTACTACTACTACTACTACTACTACTACTACTACTACTACTACTACTACTACTACTACTACTACTACTACTACTACTACTACTACTACTACTACTACTACTACTACTACTACTACTACTACTACTACTACTACTACTACTACTACTACTACTACTACTACTACTACTACTACTACTACTACTACTACTACTACTACTACTACTACTACTACTACTACTACTACTACTACTACTACTACTACTACTACTACTACTACTACTACTACTACTACTACTACTACTACTACTACTACTACTACTACTACTACTACTACTACTACTACTACTACTACTACTACTACTACTACTACTACTACTACTACTACTACTACTACTACTACTACTACTACTACTACTACTACTACTACTACTACTACTACTACTACTACTACTACTACTACTACTACTACTACTACTACTACTACTACTACTACTACTACTACTACTACTACTACTACTACTACTACTACTACTACTACTACTACTACTACTACTACTACTACTACTACTACTACTACTACTACTACTACTACTACTACTACTACTACTACTACTACTACTACTACTACTACTACTACTACTACTACTACTACTACTACTACTACTACTACTACTACTACTACTACTACTACTACTACTACTACTACTACTACTACTACTACTACTACTACTACTACTACTACTACTACTACTACTACTACTACTACTACTACTACTACTACTACTACTACTACTACTACTACTACTACTACTACTACTACTACTACTACTACTACTACTACTACTACTACTACTACTACTACTACTACTACTACTACTACTACTACTACTACTACTACTACTACTACTACTACTACTACTACTACTACTACTACTACTACTACTACTACTACTACTACTACTACTACTACTACTACTACTACTACTACTACTACTACTACTACTACTACTACTACTACTACTACTACTACTACTACTACTACTACTACTACTACTACTACTACTACTACTACTACTACTACTACTACTACTACTACTACTACTACTACTACTACTACTACTACTACTACTACTACTACTACTACTACTACTACTACTACTACTACTACTACTACTACTACTACCAATACTCCCTTCCTCTAAACTACATCTACAAAAGTGAATTTCACTAATACAAATTATAACACCGACATTCTTCATTGTTTTGACCCGATTAATTTTACTTAAATTTCTGTATAAATATTCCATTGTAAAAGTAGAATAATGTTACTAATTTAATTTTACACCGCATCTCTTTTCATTTTAAGTTATTTCTATATAACTCAGCGAATGAGTTTCAATGGACAGCTTTGTGCAAAAGTGTAAAAGTTCATGTTGCTCCACTCTCTGTACAGCACACAAAGATAGAGAAAAAGAAAAAAATACTTAAAAGAACTGCAATGAACAGGAACGTACAAGAAGAAGCAAAACTACACGAACAAATATAAGGATTCAATAGATACAAGTCACTCACTCATATCATCCTCTACAAATCTTATTCATCAACAGAAGCAAAAAAAACCACCAAAAGATTCAAAAAAAAAACTTCAACAACTCTGTGAATTAAGCTACATCGAATGACAGAAAAAACAAAAATAATCATAAAAGTACGGAATAAAATTTAGCTTACCTTAAAGGAGCTATGCACCAGCGTTTCGTCTAGATCTAAGACTAAACACTTTTTGTCCATACAGTCTGAGTCTACTTCACCCAACAGATCAATACCAGGTGACAACTAGAATGAAGAGAAAATAATTAAGGAATTTCAGGAGTCCTGGACAGTAAACAGAATTGTTAAGTTTGAGAAACAATTGAATCTAGTTTTATACACAATAAGGTAAGAAAGACGTTTAGGCTATCTATAAGGTTACTTAATATCCAGGTCATAGATGTTGCGAATTGCCTGGTATGAATTCAGCACCGAGTCAGACTGAAACACTATAAAATTTAGATATTTAAAAGATTTTTTAACGTTTCGCTGTGTAGGCCACAGCTTATTTATCAAAATTACTTGGATTTTAGTAAACACATTTGTACTGAGACTGTCAACTTGTCGTTGTTAAGTTGCTACAATATGCGTATATCTGTTTGTCTATGTATGTGTTATTTATTGCAAGGGGAACATGTCAATTCATGAGTGATACTTATAAAGTTGTTAATATATTCATCCGAAGTTATTTTATGCATGAACATGTCTGACAGAAAAAACTAACACTGGTTTCACAACTAATAAACTAGGCTGGCAATCAAACAATCACATTACTGGCGATTAGCTTTGGGTGTAGGGACTAATTAGTCAAACAACCCAATGGATTTGATATTTTGTTCAAAATATTACCAAAATCAAAAACCTATCATTGTGTAAACAGATAGAGAAATATTATGCTGGCTGGCTGGATTCAACATAGAACTTGGCACCGAAGTGCAGCAGTTCGAGTTGCCACGTTCCAAATAGCACACAAAGGTAGACAAGAAAATGAGTGAGGAGAATCAATAGAGTTTTGACAAGTATAAGAGTGAAACAGAATGAGTAATGGTAGAAAGGAGTATGAAGGTTAAAGAGACTGGATACATCTGCGCCATTGACAACGATTTTGAGCCATGTCACCTATTGTCTCCAGCCATTGATTCTTAGAGTCCCGAGGGCCCCAACCCGGAAGTCTGCATCTCCCTACCTGACTCAGTTTACTGTCAGGGATTTCATGGATTGATGCCATGTTTTGTTTGGCCACCACTTACTCTTTTCCAACCTGCACCTATATCAGCTAGTAATGCCCGTCGGGGGAGACGATGGTTAGGCATGCGCAGCACTTGACTAGCCATCTCAATCTATTTAACTTATAGCCTCTTCGAGTGATTTTCCCTCTTTGCCCAACACTCTACGCCTAACGTCAACATTACTTACCTTATTATACCACCTAACGCGAGAAAGAGATCGTAAACATCTGTGGTCAAAAACAGACAATCTCTTCATGTCTTCCGCTCTCAATGGCCACGTTCACCGCCATAGAGAAGACGGAGCGAACTGATGAGCAGTATACACGTCCTTGGTTGACAGCCTGATTAGTCGATCTATTCCACCACGATGGATAAATTTTTCACAGACAGGATTTGGTACAGTTTATAACTCATAAGGAACCTCACATAGTTCTGAATAGAAATACCTGTTCCTAAAATTCATTTCATGAATACAATCTACTATCTACAAAAGTCCTGAAAAATGGAAGAATCTGAATGCAACCACAGACTGTGCTTGGAACATCATCCAGTGAGCCATACCATGATATCCAACAAACTAAACAACGTGGATTTTCAGATGTCGGGTATTTAAAGGATATGAGTGAATTCAAATCAGATTTCGTTATGAATTGATATCAGTTACAGAGCCATTGATACAATGCATAATGCTCAAGTTACACTCATATATGAATGTTTAATTTATGTATTGGATAATTCCTTTTAAAATCTAACTTTTCTTCAGTCTTGCCAGTAAAAATTACAAGTGGATAATCAATTTCTCCATACCAAGATTTAGTTTACCTAGATAAATAGTTTTAAAAAAATCATTTTTAAAAAGGATATATGGTCGCTAATCTATAAGAAATAGAATTTCGAAACTATGTTTTAGCCGTGACTTTTCAATATTCTACTTACTATTACATTATTACAAAACATGAACTTAGTCGACGTCTACTAATGTTCCTGGCATTGTGCTTAGCACTAAGCACTTAACCGGACGGAAGTCGAATGCACTCGAGATGCAAAAACAGTGTAGTGAAGTACTCAGTGAGAATTTTCAGAAAGACAGTAAAAAGCAAAGTAGAAACAAAGAACTGTAGTAAGCTACAATACCTAATTTGTTTGTCGTGTGATACGACTAGTGTGAGAAAATAAACTAATCCATTCAGGAGATCCTGGGAAAAGTCTCTTCAGAAATGATCGAAATTACATTATTGCATCTCGAAATTACCTAGTGAGCAGAGTTGACTAATGGTTCCCTGCATAGCTATCAAATATTAAATGGATTAATATGTTGTTAGTCTAACCGGAAATTTGTCAATAGAATTATTTAAACTCATTGTTATGAATTCCAATGTGCTAAATAAGTGTGAGAAAATAAATGTACGACTAAAGTTTACAACAGAGAATCACTCCCGGATAAATTTCTCCTAGGAAGTAACATAGATAAGTGCGAGATATGAAAGTAACATGAACACTAGAAATGAAACTTGCATAGATGATTAAACACATAGATGCTGCTACAATATAAATGACTCAACAAAAGTTTCCAAATTTATAAAAACTTTACCAAAGTATTTTATCATCTACATGAAAATTACATAAAAATATTAACTTACTGACTCTAGGTTCTCAGAGGAAGCATCACCCTGACCACCATTTCTGTCATAATTTATTGGATACTGATCATGAGCGCAACCACCTGGAATAATACGATCACCATCGGGATGATCACATTCAACCCAAGGTGGATTTAAAGGTTGTAATTGTTGATGAATTACGTGATGTGTTGATTCAATATTGCAAGGGTTATTCACCTGTACATTTAAACTTTGACGTTCATTATTTCCAACACTTTTTACACCATATAAATCATTTGTGTGACGTTTAAACGTTGGGAGTCGAAAAGAATAGTGTAATTTCGATGTGTTAGCATTTGCTACTACAGTCGCATGTGGGACTGTAGACTCTGTGTGGGCATCAGATTCAGTAAAGTTACAACCATTAGATATAGAAGTTGTATTAGCATAATTTTCAGATTTTGATCCTAATGCGTTCAGTACTGTGTTGGGCAGAACAGGTTGATAACTTGATTCCATAGGTGAGTGCACATCCTCGACAGACGGATGAAGAGAAGTCTTATCAGTCGTACATCCAACAACATCACTGACTGGTATATCTTTTGATTTTTTAGAACGCTTTGTTTTCTTAAATTTTGTTCCCTTAACAGGACGGGGATTTACAGAGTCATTTGCTTTATTAGAGTGAGAAATATTTATATCACCAGCTGGTTTCGAATTTTCAGACTGTGTATGTTTTACAGGAGTGGTATTATTCTGTTTAGTAGGGGGTGAACGATGAGATTTCTCTGGAAAACAGCATAGATAACGACGCCATTTGCTTGGAGACTTTGATAGTTTTGTATCTGTGTGGATGGGTAGAATTTCTTTGGTGCTTGGTTTATGGAGTTCATGAACTAAAATATGAGGAACAAAAAAATCATTACTTTAGCAAAATGACAAAAACATCCACCTCCCAAGATAAACCCTTGTCTGTAGATACTATTCTGCCGCGAACAATCAAAAAGTATCTTCATTTAATCATGAAAGTAATGTCGTACAACTCATATGTTTTTCAAAGCCTATAAATTCCAAAAGCCTAGCACAACCATACCTATTTGTAAGTTATAATACTATGCTTTTTTCACAAACTAATAAATACTAATTAGTAAAAACATGGTCTGTGAATATGGTTACCAACTACTTAATAAAGTCAGATATTTAAATATTATGAATGGTTCGAAAGAAATAACTAGACAAAAATCGTGCATACAAGTATATCCATGCAGTTAACCACATATAACAGTAGTCCAAAAGAACAACAACCTAAACAAATGGATAAGCACAAATTGCTTAAGGATATTGGGAATTATGTTACATCCGTAAAAATACACTTGCTATCAGTAGGTACGGTGGAATGTGCAACTGTTTAACTCTCTCCACAGAGATGGAAGGCAACACAAATGGTTTGATATCTCTTCAAAAGTTACACAATTGAGGTTAACTGGATAACTTAGCGGCTTTCAGTTGACCTTAAAAGATAAATATAAAACGTCCGTTACTTTTGACAGCAAATCAAACGAGAATAATTTGGCATGCTCATCAACGATTTCTGTTATGAGCTATGCTGGCGTCTACTAAGACACGTGCCTTCTGAAACTCTTTTAGGGAGTTGTGATAGGTCAATTACTGTTTGCTCCGTTATTACTATTCCTGTCTCACACCTTTATTTACTGTCTATATTATGCATTTCTCCTACTTTCTTCTCTTGCTCTGTGTGCTACATGGAGTGTGGCGACTTGAACTGCCGCACATATGTGCAAAGTTCTATGTCGAAAACCGACCGACCGACCGATAGGTCACTATGACCATTCTTCACCTTATGGTGCCACATTATGGACTGATATTCTTCTTTCAGGTAACACAATTACCAAACAGAGGAAAGTACTGAGTCCCTTAAAATGGCAGTCTAAACAGAAGCCTAGGTCAACGAAAACAATGTAATGACATGACCAATTACTAGATAATTGTTTCTATTAAATGCACGTAACTGGAAATGCAACCCATAATCGTACACTAGATGGTGTGATTCATAACTAACAGTATTGGTACAATTGCATTCATACTTAATCTTCAGCTTGTGGAACAACATCTCTTTAATTTTTATGAAGTCTCATCTATTTAACTTTATCCTGATTCCTGCAAAGTAGGGCTAGTTTCCACATTAATACACGAGTTAGCATTATGTCTAAGAATCTTGCTAGTATGTATCAGTAATTCTAAAGTGACACCTAATCGACATTAAACAATTCAGCATTTATCACCAGAATGTTTTAGAAGTCATAAGCACCTGTATTTGCAACCACTGCATCCTTTAAGCGTAGTCAGCTTTTTCCTTTAGTAAAGAGGTCAGTGGTTAGTTTTCGATATAGTTCGGTCAAGCAAACAGTTTGACGACTAGTTAATTCTCTCACTTTCACATGTTAAATACAAATATCCTGCTATTAACTACAACAAAGTATGGTTTGGCATGCGCTGAAGTGTGATCAAGTACTACGGAAGCAGGATGACTCCTCCAGAAACATGCACAAACTGTAACCGACTGCAATTTGATCAAGCTGAGTTTAAACTCGAGGATATATATATATATAAGGAACTTATTAGCATGACGATAATGACTAAACCAGAAGATTACAATAAGCAGGAATAGGCTGTTGGCGGTGGAATTCATCTTAGTTGGAATGTAGTTAACTTAATAAGAGTACACCCAGTTATTTTACTAAGTACTTCCGACTCTGACTGAACATCCCAGTTTCACTGCACATAAAAGACTATTAGTGGGAATGGGTTTATGATATAGTTTCTATACTAGCGCTTATTAATAAAAACCTAAATACAGAGGCTATTTGCAATACGCCACTTTTACACCGACAAAATTAACCGAGAAGTCTATTGAAAGCAACTTACGTTCAAGACTAAATTATAACATGAGGATAGGTTAGATAGCAACGTCTGAAAATGCCTTATAGTATCCCTAAAAACCTTTTTTTCTTCACTTTCTCCTCAAAATTGTGACAATATCTTATACTAGTTTACTTGCACTCCCCTAAAGCAAAGTTATTTATTTTAATACTTTGTGAAATGTGGTTGTCTGTCCATTACAAATAAACAATCGCAACGTATCGATATCTTTCAAACTGATGTCATGATGAGGACCCCACAGAATTTAAACTTTAAAATGCATACAATATGCATATCACTTAAGATTATGTTGATTTAATTCTTCTGATACCAAAACAGAAACAACAGTAAATCAGTATTTGAAAGACAATAATAATACACACTTAAGAGGCAATGATGAAATTTTATTTGCTTGTGTTGCTGAAGTTCCAAATAAGGTTTATATAACGCTAGCGACCACATAACACTTAATATTAGTTAACTAGGGTCCTAATAGAGCAAGGCTTGCGAATATGAACAGCCTAAAAAATCAACAAAATGTGAGAAACCTGTGAAAAACAACTCAACAGGACGAAGTAACTATATCTCCGTAAACAGATGGAACTAAGTGACACCTGATTCCAGCTGTTTACAAATTAAGAAAATGCATTATGAATAAAGAACTATATCCGAGCTCTTTATCAGTGTCTGCTACAACTAGCACTCACTTAAGATGCATAAATTTAAAGGAGAGAGAGAATTTCCGTGTCTTTTACAGTCGTAACAAACAAACTTACATCGAATTTTAACCTGGAGGCTTTGTGGCAATGCATACACGTACCTAACCACTTTCGATTCTTTTTTTTCAAGTGACAGCGCATATATCACATAGGTTTCAAACTATGAAGAATCAGATAATTGGCACTATAATTTTGATAGTTCTCTGATCGATGTAGATTGGGAACGAAACTACAAACTAATCAATTACCGAAAGGGCCACCGGCTATTCGCCAGAAAATTAATAGACGCGACTGTTACAGAAGTCAGCATATTTCAGATTATTTAATCACTATCCACCAATCCTCACCTTATTGTGGATTTCATCAGAAAGACTGTTTTTAACACTAATCAAATTTACTCTGATCTCACAACACGACTTTCATCTCCCCTTCCTTATAAACGGCAGCAAAAACATAGTATTAATGATTATGACACATTATAACTACTTCAACTGATGAAAGTAATGCAGTGACTTATTGTGTTATGGATTTGAATCTCAACCAAATGGTTATATATTTGAACCCCACTCTGCCTACCAAGATTTGGACAGACAGGTATTATTGTTATTCATTATGCTTAACATATGCGTTACCAAGCGTTTGCAGTATTATCGACCAACCTAAGCACTTCTTAGCAACCTTGGCAGTCCTGATTGTGCAAAGTATTTAAAAGTATGTGTTTTATTATGAGACCAATGATTCATGCACTCTATACGTATTTATAAGCAATACCTGTTGTGGATTAGTCCCACAAGATGCTTCTATAACACTTCAATTTATTCTAAAAACGCTAAAAAGATGACAATTATTAGTCACTTCAAAGACACTGACAAACACCCAGTTGGTAAACTAATCCTACAAATATTTGGAGATAGGAAGTGAAACTGCGGTGGTTCAATTTGTTGCAACCAACTTGCTTGTAAAAGTACTTTGGGATTTGGAAAACGGTAAATATCAATGTCTGATCACCAAATGTACCTCAGAATGAAAGCATATAACTAGATATATGAATACGAGAAGAAGGTGGTTTCTCGGAATGGGTTCTGTGAGAAGTCGAGAAACATTTTAGCATTTTCAGACCACCTTCGTGCACACTTGATAATGTAATATTCACAAACATGTTGCTTTTTCACTTACTATGTAACTAAATGAGGACAGTATGGGATCTAAGTCACCCGATTGACTGTTATTTTAGGTAAATATTTCTCGTGTCGAAAAATAGACGGATGAACAATGTGGACAGACATCTCAAGTCTACTATAGCCGATTAACTTTAGCATTTTCCTGCAGTGCCGTATGTTTACTTACTTTTCCATCTACTTATCTGAGTAGTAAGATATATGCATCATTCAAAAGAGCTAACATTACATGAAAGGCATTTAAGTATACATTAATGCATGTTTGCGAGAATTTAGTCTTTCACTCAGACGGACTTGGTTAGGTATACATTCGTGGATAAAAATGGACTAACAAGAAGCGAAAACCAGAAGTCTCATCCAAAATGACAAGGAAAGCAGTAATCACAAAAACGGTAAGTAGAACCAACCATAAAATTCTACCAGAAGCTTAACAGCAGCAACCTAGACGCGGTCTTTAACACTGACTAGACTAACTCCATGCTAATCAGTGTTAGTACCTTACAGGTGAGTTATTGTAAATTTGTCTTGAATTGTTATCCCAAACCCATTGAAAAATTGGTTTTGATATAATTATTGAGAAAAACTAGGGTATTTTTGCCTATGGTATGATTTATGGACTGACTCATAGCAAGCAAAAACACATAGAAGCCATGAGAAATAACTTAGCTTACCTGAAGACCTTGCACTGTGATCACTATGAGAGTCAGTGCATCCTTCATGTTTGTGAGCTTTTAAAGAACGTGTGCTACCGCTGATTGATTGAGACCTGGAGCTTGACCGGCAAGCTGCCTCGTAAATAGCAGCACTAGCAGCTTCAAGGTTCAGAGGGACAGGGGGAGGAGAAAGAACAAGCCTTTCATATTCCTCAGCAGAGTTTGCATCAGTTGATTTCTGTCCCTCTCCAACAACAGCACTTGCAGTTTCGGCAGAAGTAACTGACAATAATTTTTTCTGAGATTTTAGTGGCATGTCATCCTGAGAACAAGGTTTTTTGTTTTGACAAGCTATACTGTCCATAAGTCCCAAGCATCAAGGAAAGTTAGGCTAAAAGATCCAGCTTCAGATTGGGCGGGTCATTGGAGAAACTCACTTGCATTGGTGAGCTAAAACAAAATGATGTTGCAGATGCGAATCTGTTAAAAATCACGAAGAATCTGAAAGAAGGAGATGCTTTCAGTCGATTTCAACTTGATTAGCGAGAACCGCCTGTAATTACCATTCGAAAAGCTGGTGGTATGACTTCTAGGTAGGTGATGCATAACATCAAATGTATTAGTTACAGGATTTAAACATGAGCTGACATCGGTTGCAGAACCAGTAGAAAATCTAGGAGTAATGAACAGCTGTTTCGTCCTAGTTTGAGACTCTTCATCAGTACGCGCCCATCCCCAGGGTTCGAACCCTGGATCTTGTGGTTGCAAAGAGAGCTCGTAGACCATTAAGCCACTGGGACCCGACCCAATGGCCAGCCCATGAATTTCAATTTCTGCCAAATCACGAAATACTGTGACCACTAGCCAATGTCATTTGTGGTGAGTATTTGTCCCCACACCTGACATACTGTAATCAATCAATCAAATCCCTACAAACCGAAGCCTGAAAACCAAATGTATTAGCTTTTTCTGTATGACCTAACTACCCACTTACAATAAATAACATTTACATACCTAATTTTATTTTCTCTTGCCGGTGACAGTCACCTTTCTTGTAGTCCTTGCATAAGATTCCTTAATGAATATATGTGAGTTGATATTGAACGGCTGCGAAGGTCAGGCGTCTTAATCAGTATCCGTCATCGTCAGAGTCTTCGGAAGGAATACATAGGTGCATCTGAAACCAAATGTGGAAATTAAATGGGTTGGTGAAGCAGTAGCGTGGTAACTCGGGCCTGTGTAAATGTACTGTGGATGAGAACACAGTAGATTAAAAAACCAATAATAAGGGGCCACTGTGGAAAAACAGTTGAATATATCTAGAAGGAGTGTTAAGTGCTAATGTATCTGTTTTTCTTAACTCAACTGTCGAGTAGTCGCTCAGATTTTGAAAATAGTATTTAGCCCCCAAAATATGCAATGGCAGCAAAATGAATTTGACACCAATTATTTTATTAAGGACAAAATCAGAAAGTTCACGCATGAATAGACTGAGCTACCTGTTGTTTTTCACTGTTTTAACACCAGTGTGCCGTCTGAAACTCCCGAAACTCACTTTCGCTAGCACCCATCAGTTATGACAACTATTTTAAAAACACTAGGGACGCCTGAAATATGCATTTAAAATATTTTCAGACAACAGGTAATCAGTGGTTGCATTTGTTGCATTTCCATTATTCCTCATAACACTCCTTACTCATATATGTCCCCAAACAGGCTCTGTCTAACATATCTCGACACTGATGATATGCAAAGTATATGTTCATGGAAATGTCATCTCCAAATCATATTAGGTCTATCTGCAGAAGCTGACAGAATTCACCACAGAAGTGTCCGAAAGAATTTTCTAGAACTCCCGCAGCAGTATTGGCAAGGTGCCTTCTGTGGAACCTCGATTTGACAAGTTCGGTAGAAACAAATTTTGAAGGTAACTTTCACCAGCTACTTCAGCTAATGTCTTTTTGAATGCATGCTGCTATTCCCATTACTAACTGATTCTAACGTGAGTGACGGAAAACCATTAATCTCTGAGTGCCGCCACCCAACACCGAAGAACAAGCTAATAAGCAGCGGTTGTTTTTGAGAATTATATGCTAAGCATGCATTTTGAAATTATAATTACTTGGGTCTGCTCAATATTTCTTCTGATTCGCCGATTTGTTAAGAAAATGGAACAGTTATCCAAACATGGTAACCTCATAATGTGTGATTCGTTTCACTGTAGTGCCACGTGGCTAAAATACTAGCAGTTCTTTGATAGATCAAATCACGAAAATATTACTCATTATCACGTATGCAGGCTTTTTCTGAACTACTGTGACAAAACACAAAGCAACTATCTGAGATACAGTCGTCATATAATAAAAAACTGATGGTGTTCTACTTAAGGTACATTACAAGCAGCTGTTCGCAGATTATTACACATTTATCTCAAACATAGTATACACTTATGTTTGCAAATGGCTATTCGGGACGAACGATAGTTATGAAATATGCAAGCAACTGGCATTTTGTTAGTGTGACACAAGCGTGCGCTATTTGTTTGCCTCAAAGACATAGTGTCACGCATGAGTCTTGGTCGATTTAATTCTATAGTCCACTTGAGAAAAAATACTGCTTCAGAATAGAAGGGGATAATATACTGAACAACGCAGATCAGAAACATAATAAGACCGTACCCTAGGTTATTCAAGCATTATGATTAATTTCACAAAATCCTTTGTTCTCGTGTCGTTGCGAGCATATTCAGAACCAGATGAAATTTTAAATGAGGCTGAATGTTTCCTTTTATTAAAAATCAACAGGTTAAAAGTATCCTGATAAGTAGTAGTCCTCGCCATTGTGCTCTAACCCAATCCGCAATACTTTGAATAAGCACATTCAAAAGACGGTAAGCTTTTCTTATTATACAGGTAATAAAAGCGGTGGATCTTATTTTGATAAAAACCACATTTTGGATCTGGAAGTATGAGAAATCAATGTAGTTACACTAATTCTATGTAAGTGATAGGCCCTACTGGATTTTAATCTCTTCCGATTGAACCCAAAAAAATATGCTGCGACCACTTAAGAATTGAAGACACAAGGGTGAGATGGTTACGCAGTTATCAAGTTCACTCTTACCAAGTGTCCACCTTATCCAAGAGCCTCTCTCAACTGACTGGTGTCTAGGGTACTATGCATATCATTGGTTTTCAGTCTGAATCCTACCATGGCCTGGATTTTCTTACTTTCTGTCGTCACTCATTACCTCTATAAATCAAAGCTTTTGCCAAGATAATCTCACCATCTGCATGATTAACGTTATCCCTGGGTGAGACCAGAAGATAACCCACCACAAATCCTCTCATGTCGTGTAAATAAGGCAAGCAGAAACATTGCAGTCACGCCTGACAACAGATATATTTCACAAGATTAAAATGTCTGAAAAAAGTCACTTTCCTCCAGGTTAGTCGGCCATGTTGGATATCTGCATTCTAAGCGTTCGTTCACAAACTGGATTCTGCCTTTATACTGAGTTATTCACAAATTATAAAGAAATAATGCTTTTGCTCCTAACGTCTTCAAGCCTGCCTAGTTCCTTGTCAAGATGCTTCCCCATGGGCCATACACAAGTTCGCCAGACATCTTACAGGTCACCATATCCGACAGGTTCTAATCCTTAAAGCCAATTCTCTCTGAAATGTCATTTATATGCTTCACGACAATCCTTCTGTCTAATTATGATTATTCTCAAATCCCTAGGCCTTTGATAAAGTTGAAATTTACTCTTTTCATTCACTCTTCTCTCGCATAAAGTTCGGTTGCTCTGATGATGAAAAAACATTACAACAACACCCATGTTTGAGAATAACTATATTTTCACAGAAAATGTCATAGTTTTCCGTGGTAAGACCAATATGGTTAGCATCATACATTGCAAATGTGTATTATCATTTCAAGTACTATATAGCTTCTTCTTGTATTTTTCTTGTAAATATACTTCTAATAATGTATTATTCATAATTGCACTTTGTACCATTTCGCAGCTGCGCCAAATTTTCTTCACTTCCTGGAATAGCTTTCAAGCACGTGAGGGCATAGCACCCACTCAAATATATGTTGTTTATCGATTGGCCATAACTATCACCAGGAAATGGAACGAAAGTTGGGTTGTCGCTCAACTTAGGTGGTGACCTTCGCGAAAGATTTACAGATTAACATTTATAGGAATCTGTTCCGATTGCTTGTACTATAATTTAACAATTTGAGCTTTTGAAAAAGTGCTAATCTTTGCTAATTCACAATTGCGATTTGTAACATAATTGATCGTGCCTTTAAAACTGGCATGCATTTCATGTAAACTTACCCGTTTATAAGAAATGTATTATTATCTTGACGCATATTATACACTAACGTTGCGTTTTACATCATTTTGCTTTCCATTAACGTCAACATTATGTACCACGTTTGTTTCGTAAGTCTTTACCTCAACGCAAGTTCATTCATTTCATTGTAATTGTCTCACAAGATGTTTTCATGCGTGGTTACAGTGTTATTGTTAATTTCCAGCTGGTAACGGAATAATACCAAGTACAAGTTTTGGAAATTATATGTATGAACGTGTTTCGGTGGCAGAAGCTGTTGTTTCCTGTTCAATTTCGGTTGCCTCCATTGTTGAGTATAAATTCTCTGAAAGCAAGCTTATGGTACCACTTTTCTACTTCAGGAGGACATCTTATTGTATAAATCAGAACAAAAGCATAAATGTTACGAAACTTATGCTTTTATTCTACATATTTTATATATCAGTTTCTACTTCCAGCATCACCCTATATAGGTGGGAACAATCATCAACATTCGTTTCTCTCTTGTCTTATATTTAATAATAATATATTCTCATTTTGTGCATGAGGGACGTCAGTTTACAGGCATCATCAATATGATAAATAACATACGCATAACACATATACGATTAGTAAGCATATTGAATAATAATTTATTAAAATACATATTTTTCCCACCTGTGTTGAACACAGCAGTTATACAGGCATGGATAAGTATTATTTAAATTACGTGGTTGCTGTCGTTTTTGTCTGTGGTTTGTGGGAACAATGTGGAGCACATCAAGAAATATAGAAATTCTGTCCTCGCATTAACAAAAAACACCCAAGTATGTTTTGCATAGTCTTGTCAGCATTTTCACCGTAACATCACAAGCAGATTGTACTCAGTGGTGACTAATAATAATAATTTATATTTTCTTATAAACGGGTGTTTTCAAGAAATGTAAGCTATTTTTGCAGAAACGATCAGTTATGTAGTAAGCTACAATCGTGAAGTATTATAAATTAGTGATGTTCACTGCAATAAAGGTATGTTCTACAAGCAAGATCCAGGTTGCGTCGTGGGGAAAGGTAATGCGTAATTCACGAGAGAATTGTAAGATATGGGACCAACAATGTTTGC